AATTTGGCCAGCACAAACTACAGGAGGTGGTGATTACACTAGGCCACACTTGCTCCAATCTGCCCCAAACTCGACATGCCAGATCACAGTCCTGCCCGGAGCAAAGGCCGACAAGCGTAGGGCGAGGACCCGTCCATCGCCGCTTGCGGCTTTAATTGTTTATTGTGATCGTTTTTGACAAATTTCGAGTCACTTTAAGCTGGTTCCAAGTCACTTTGGACACATTTAGAGTCATTTGAACATTTTTTTGTTGGACAGAACTTTCTGGGATCAGTACCACCTTCAGCTGACCATTGTGCTCTTTTTTTCCATTTTCAAAGTCCAATAATTCAAACTGTGTCCTCTGTTGGATCCATTCAGTCATCCTGATCTGATATAATCTATTCAGTCACCACATGTCATGTCTGTAGGAGTTTTATTTCTGGACATGTTGAACCTTTGCAGGTGAAACCAGGTGTGAAAACAACATGTGACAGCAGCCCAAATAACTGAGCTCAGTGTGAGGCGGTGACGTCGTTCAGTGGAAGAAACGAGACACGTCGTACGTTGGCTTTAGTTTATTCAAAGACATGAACAGCAGAGACACTCCTCTGCCTCCAGACAAACAGAAATAAGCATCCATTTGTTCCTGGACTGTAGACGGTGAGCGTTGCTGTGAGTTTGTCCCCATGAAGGCCAGAGTTTCCTCTCAGCGTTGTGTCTTTCCTCTGAGAGACGCTGAGACGCCGACTGATGCGTTTACTGCTTATCGTTCATTTTAAAGGGCTGACAGCGAGCAGAGCAGGTTAGCGCTGCAGCATCAGTTACCATGGAGACGCAGCAGGTCAGAGAAAGCCTGAACATCTGGATTTACTAATAACCAAGAATCAGTCAGTGAACGCATCTCAGAGCGTCACAGCGTCTCTGCTCCTGTCGTACAGGCTGATTCCTCAGAAGCTCTGACCTTCAGGGTCCAACTGTGTCGCTGTAAATAAACAATAAACGCATTTCAGTGCTTCAACACCTCCACCTCCCTCCAGCTCTCTGACGCTGCTGCCCAACGACATCTCTTCACTTCTGAGGCTGAAGCTCCAGACTCTAGATTCTTCTTCTATATTTCCATGTGAGCAGATTTCTCTGCTCTAATTAGAACTCAGCTCTGTTTCAGGCCGACTGTACGGCCAGAAACATCATCTGAAAGAATAATTCTGGTGTTTTTAAACCAGTTTTCCTTTTTGTTATTGTGGCTCTAAATGATTAATAAGAAACTGATGCTGACTAATGGAGCTGCAGCGATTAACAGACTCATTAATTAGCTGTCGAATATTAAATCAATCTATTTAGAGAATCTGTAAAATACTGATTCCAGCTTCATACATGTGAATATTTTCTGTTTTTTTTCTCTTTTGTGGCAGTAAACTGAAGATCTTTGAGTTTTTATGACCAAATAACTAATTAAATGATTCAGATAATAACCAACAGCGTGAATGCTGATTGGTTGCAGCTCTAGAAGCCGTTCTGTCGTCACTGCAGGATGAAAACCTGCTGCTCCACATTGAACCAAATCCCAACATTTAGTCTTTTTAGAACAACTTAAAGCCAACAAGTGACAGAAAACCAGGGTTCAGGTTTAGAAAGAACAGAATTATCCTTAAACTCTCACCAGAAGTTGCACATTTAACAGGATCAGGAGGAAATCAAACTGCTGCTGGTACGTTGGGATGAACTTTACGTTTCTCTCAACGTCTCGACCACGTCGGCACTGAAACTGTTAAACTCTGATGAGGATCGTCGGGGAGGATGACATGAAGGGAATGTGATGACTGGGAGCAGTGGAGGGTCTGAACTCGGCGTCTTCAGGCGTCCGTCAGCGTCTTGTTGTCCAGAAGAATCTTCTCTCCGGGTTTGAACGCCGGCATCCCCAAGTACGGGCAGCTGGCGCATCGGAAGGCATCGCCGAGGTAACACTGACCACAAAACATCATCATCTCTTTATCAGGTCGCCTCAGTAACAGCAGGAATATCAGAATACAGCGACAAACGGAGGATACTCACACTTCCACAGGCAGACTTTGGCAGGTCGGTCTTCTGTTGTGCTTTACTCTCCTGATCCAGCTCCTCGGCCAGACCACATGTGCTGCACAAAACACACAACGTACAGCAGAGCAGCTTAGAGCCCAGTGGGGCGGACATTATTTCAACGACACAAGTTCTCCTGAGGTGAAGGAGGGCTTATACACACTGGAACACACAGACACAAGTGAAGCAAAGAACAAAACATTCCGTCTGTTGTCGTATTTTAAGGACGTTCAAAGCCCATCCGAGGGTAAAGACGTCCAACATGTACTCAGGCAAAAAGTCGAGTGCCAGAGTTAGAAAAACACGAGTCAAGTAGCTAAAGTGGCTGCCATAGCTAAAGTAGCCAAAGTAGCTAACATAGCTAATGTAACTACAAAAGCTAAAGTAGCTAAAATGGCTAAAGTAGCTAAAGTAGCTACAATAGCTAAAGTAGCCAAAGTAGCTAACACAGCTAATGTAACTACAAAAGCTAAAGTAGCTAAAATGGCTAAAGTAGCTAAAATAGCTGAAGCAGCTAAAAACATAGTATTTTCCTGCTTCTTTTATCTGAAACACAAACAGCTGACATCATTTTAACCACACTAGTAGGAACTCAGATGAAACAGGAAACACACTCACGCACACAAAAAATCAGCTAAACTAACTGAAACTTGTTCATGTGCTTCACAAAATGTAAAACATCCAGCATTGTGCCTCCATGTTGAAAGGTAAGAACTTCAGAGGCTGATTTTTCACATTTTAACACATTTATGTAGATTTAGCAGATTTTTAAACATATTTCCTGAATTCTGTCTGAATTGACAAACTGACCCTGATTATTACTATTAGGGTCCGAACACTACAGTCTGTAGGACCCTACTGGACCTGCTGTGAGCAGAACTAGGGTCCGAGACTCTTCTGACTCCTCTGAAGGAGGTCCAGCTCCAGCAGACTGTTCATCATCAGCTGTTGTGTTGTTGAGCATCAGAGTTTGTTGTGTTGCTGCTGCTTGTGTTGTTCATAGTGTGTTGATGAATGAAGACATGAAGCTGAACATGAAACGGCTTCAACCAGGAGTTTATGATCCAACCTGGTTGTTGTTTCTACAAGTTTTTAACTCTG